AGAATGATAGAGCATTGGTAATATCGCATACCATAAGATGTGAAGGTAGAGGATATAAGGATGTGATTGGAAGCTGTTGAAAAATGGGGGGGGGGAGATAACAAGGTTGAACGGACCATAGTAAAGTGTACCCACATTGGGCGTACACTGAGACACCCCTTTGAACCTTGACTTGGAATTAATAAGGAAAGATAGGACTGTAGAATAGGTACTGTGGGGGGGTACTTTTGGAAGGGGGAGGGTGAATGGAGGAGATGAAGGTGAGGGAATATGGCGGATGGACTTCATGCACATACGTGAAATAGAACAATGAAACCTCTTGCAATGGATTTAAGTGGGATGGTAGGGATTTGGTAGGGAAGATGGTGGGGACAATCTACCAATGTACAATGTAAGGCTATTCAGAATTTTTACAATGAATCCCACTGTACAATGAGTATACCCTAATAAAAATGGAAAAGAAATTTTTTTTTAAAAAAGAAAGAAAAGGAACCTGGTTAGGCACCAGTGGCTCAGGCCTGTAATCCTAGCTACTCAGGAGGCAGAGATCAGGAGGACTGAAGTTCGAAGCCAGCCCTGGAAAATAGTTTGAGACCCTATCTCAAAAATACCCAACAAAACACAGGGTTGGTAGAGTGGCTCAAGTGGTAGAACCTACCTAGCAAGTTTAAGGCCCTGAGCTCAAACCCAAGTATGACAAAAAAGGTGAAAAAAAAACCAAAAAGACATGGGCACTCTCATCCTGCCCCTCCCTCACCTGCCACATTCACTCCGTTCTTGAGTTAGATAGCACTACCTGTGAAACAAACCAACCCCAAAATGTTTAATGACTCAAACAGACTCAAACATGATGCAAGTTTGGTGCTGGGCACATCAAAAATCCAAAATGAGTTGAGTTTGAAGGCTCACACCAATAATGCCTGCTACTCAGGAGGTGGAGACAGGAGAATCACCATCCGAGGTCAGCTCCCGGAAAAAGTTCAAGACCTTACCTGAAAAACAACTTAAGCAAAAAGGGCTGGGGATGTGACTCAAGTCACATCCCCAGTCATTAGGTAGAGCCCCTACCTAACAAGTGCCAGGCCCTGAATTCAAACCATAGTACCACCAAAAGAATCCAAAATAAGTGTTGCTCATTTTGTGTGTGTGTGTGTGTGGTGCTGATGATGGAAGCCAGGGCCTCGTGTATGCCAGGCATGCTCTAAATCACATTCCCAGCCAAAATGCATGACCTAATAGGCAGGTGGCTATCTTCCCAGTCTCCTTCCACTGCTCCATCATCATTTGTTTGTTTTGTTTTTACTCCATCATTTTTATCAAGCCACTGCATTCAGCTGCAAGCATTGGTGAAGGAAGAAACAGAGTGGAGAAGTCACACTTACTTCTTGAGATCTTTAATGTGGGACTGTCTATATATCATTTCCTCTCAGTCCTTTGGTGAAAATTCATCATGTGACTCCCCCAGATGCAAGGGATTCTGGGAAATGTAGTTCCTGCATGGAAGGGTGTGGCCAGCTTGGAAAAATATAGCCATCAATGAAGATGGTCACCTATGATGCTTATCTTCCGATATTCATGGCCACACTGAATCACCATTCACCTATATGACCATTAGAATACCATGGAGGTGACAGTGTTTGACTTCCAAAGCTAGGTCATATAGGACATGTGGCTTCTACCTTGTTCTGTCTTGACTCACTTGCTGCAAGGGAAGCTGGGTGTCATATTTTGAGGACACTCAACTACTCAAGAGGTCCAAGGCAGGCTGGGCACTGGTGGTCTGTAATCCTAGCTGCTCAGGAGGCAGATCAGGAGAATTTTGATTCGAAGCCACTCCTGGGTAAATAGCTTGCAAAATCCTATCTGGAAAAAACCCATCACAAAAGAAAAGACGGTTGGAGTGGCTCAAGTGGTAGAGCATCTGCCTAGCAAGTGCAAGGCCCTTCATTCAAACCCATTGCCAAAAAAAAAAAAAAAAAAAAAAAACTCCAAGTTGAGAGTGATGGTCTATTCTTGTAATCTCAGCTATTCAAGAGGCAGAGGCAGGAGGATCAAACTTTCAAGGTCAGCCTGTACAGTTAGTGAGACCCTTCCTCAAAAACAGACAAATGAAAGAGGTGACTCAAGTGGTAGGGCACTTGCTAAAATGTTTGAGTTACTGGGTTTCATCTCCAGTAACACAGAGAGACACACACATGCAGGCACACACAAACACAGAGGCCCCCTGACTTGCCACCTAACTTATCCACCCTCCATAGTCCTAGGAGTCAGTCATCTTGGAAGTGTGTCCTCCAGCAACAGTTAATGCCCCAGCTGGTGTTTGAACTCCATCCCATGAGAGACACCTAGTCAGAACACCTAGTCAAGCTGTTTCTGGATTCTTGTCCAAAGAAATGGGGTGAGATGATGTTTATCGCGGTTTTAAGCCACTACCTTTCCACGGTAATTTGTTACACAACAGGAGAGAACCAGTACAAGATGGAAGCATGACTTTAGAGAATGATTTATCCCGTGCCAACACCAAGCTCTAGCTATCCTACTCCTGCAAGCATTTCACAAATCCAACTCCTCTGCACCCCGGCTGTCACCTCATTCCTCTCCTGAATGGCCACACTTGCCTCATGGCTGGTCTACCCTTTGTCTTTGTTTTTGTTTTGTTTAGGGCTTTGTGTTTGGCTGTGTAGCGCCCAGTCACTCCTCTTGGAGGTAGGACCACATTCCCGGCAACACAGTGGTGCCTGTTGCCCAGAGGCAGCTGTGATCTCCTAGCCAAACAGTCCCCATTGTCTCTGGAACTTTCTAGAACTTCTGGACTGTCACTCATGCTGGGAGACCATCCAGGCCTGCAAGACTTTCATTTGGGCCAGTCTCATGCCTGTAATCCTAGCTACTCAGGAAGCAGAGATCAGGAGGATCGTGGTATAAAGCCAGCCCAGGCAAATAGTTCATGAGACCCTATCTCAAAAACACCCAACACAGAAAGGTGTTGGTGGAGTGGCTCAAGGTGTAGGACCTGAGTTCAAACCCCAGTACTGCAAAGAAAAAAAAGGAAGGAAGGAGAGGAAAGGCAGAAGGGAGGAAGGAAATAAAATAAGGAAGGAGGGAGAGAGGGAGGGAGGAGGGAAGGAAGGAAGGAAGAAGAAAGAAAGAACATGTTTTTTTTCCCTCCTGTGAGTCCACATAAAAAAGGTTGGTGACCAACCCACCCTCCCCCCCCACCCCAGTACACAGAGATGGATAAGCCTGCAGAACCTCTTGATCCCTAGAACTCATGTTCTAAAGCCCATAATAGAGAAAATGATTTAATTAACAGGATTGTTTTGGATCATGGTGATGTGTACATGACAAGCAAATGGAACATTCTAGAGTGCGCTTGGGGGTGTTAGTGAAGGTGATCAGGGAAGGAGAAGATCTGAGCTGAAATTTATGTGTTGGGAGGATCTAGACAAGGGCTGCATCTATTGGTAAAGTTGAGCCAACAGGGAAGGGAGCCATGACAGGTGATAGAGAAACCTGGTTCCATTTAGTTTTTGCAAGGAGGGCTCAGGCTGTTGAGTGCAAAGGCGGTGGTGACAAAGGCGAGGCTGGGAGCTCTGGAGAGGCCAGGATAATTACTGGTGATGAGGAGGTGAAAAGCAGGGGAGGTGTGCCAGGCGAGCTGATGAAACAGGAAGGCAGAAGAGGCTTGGGTGTTGGGAGGCACCTGGGGAGGGGCTGTGGGGGTGGTGGCAACTCATGGTGCAGTCCTGCTCCCCAGGGTGGGGAGGGATCCAGGGCCCTGGGGGAACCGGCCTGGCAGGGCCACCACCTGACTCACAGGAGAAACTGGGACAGCCCCTGCCCACTGAAGAGGAACAGAGACAAGGAGGGGAAATTCCTAGACTGCCAAGAGTCCAGATGCCAGCTGCACACAGCAAGGTCCTGTCTGCAAGTGGCTGTCTCCATCTGGGCCTTCTGTCCTGGGCGCCTTCCATGTTTCCTCCAAACTTCCAGTTCCACACTTTCTGTCCTGTCCCTGATTCCATACCTGGGGACAGGGCAGACTGTGAGTTCAAGCCCAGTCTGGGCTATACAGCAATTTCCAAGCCAGCCTGTGCTATTCATTGAGACTCTGTCTCAAATAAATTAATCAAAAAATGAAAGAAAGGGCTGGAGATGTAGCTTAGTGGTAGAGTGCTTGCCTGGCATGTACAAGGCCCTGAGTTCAACTCCCAGCACCACCAAAAAGAAAGAAAGTTTCTAAACCTTACCAAGATCTCCTATTCCATCCTTTTGCATGTTTTCTTCCCTCTGCTAACAAACTCCTACTCATCCTTCAAAGCCCAGTACCTGCACTTCCTATGAAAGTTTTGCAGATCAAACTCCAGGCAGAGTCCACAATACCCTCCTCTGTGCTCCCACAGCCTAGGGTCCCTCCTACCAAACCACAGGTGACCAAAAGGGATGGGGAGGAAGGTCTCAGCAGGGGTCAGCCCCACCAAAGACAGCTGTTTAAGGCAAAGTTTCACACTGCATCCTCTCTGGGACCTCAGATCCAGGATAAACTGTGGGCAAATTTCTGGGTTTTATTTTCATTTTTGTCATAACTGGAGTATGAACTCAGGGCCTCACACTGGCGAGCCAGGTGCTCTACCACTTGAGCCACACCCCCCAGCCTCTTTTTCAGTTATTTTTCAGGGCCAAACTCAGAGCACCATCCTTCCAACTTATGCTTCCCACATAGCTGGGATCACAGACAACCACCACCATGATTGAGATGGGGGTTTCACTAACTTTTTGCTGGACCTAGCCTTGAACCGTGATCCTCCCATTCTCAGCCCCCTGAGTAGCTGGGATTATAAGACATGAGCCACTCTACGTGCTTTGGCACTGATTTTAAAAGCAGGAATAAAGAGTAGGCAATTACAACGATTTTGTCGATAGAGTAGAACAAAAGCTCTTCAGGGGGCCAATTCCGCCTGACTCCTCCCCTTCAGGCCCAGCCCCTAGGCTCGCCCCGCCTTGTCCGGCTTCCCGGAAGTGAGCGGGCGGGTCTGTGCCTCGGGCACAAAGCACGCCGGGAGTCGTAGTTCCGCCGTCGGACGGAAGCCAAGCAGGTCGCGCGGAAGCATGTGGCCCATAGTGTTAGTGGGGGGGGCCCGGGTGGCTGCCGTCAAGTGCGGCGCGCTCGGGCCTCGCCTCGCCGCTCGTTTTCTTCCGCAGCGGACGCCCGGGAGCGGCTTGGCCCTATACCGAGGTCTGCACGCGTCGGCGGTCCGGGCTCTCCCGCTCATTCCCATCGTGGTGGAGCAGACGGTACGGTGGCCCGGCGGGGACATGGTCCGGGGCTGGGGACCGGTCCCTTTGACCGCTCATCACCATCCTTCTCCCCCAGGGTCGGGGCGAGCGAGCCTATGACATCTACTCGCGGCTGCTTCGGGAGCGCATCGTGTGCGTCATGGGTCCGGTGAGAGCCCCGCGCTGCCCTGACCTGTGCGACTCGATCCCTTGCCTTCGGACCGCTCCCCTTGGCCTCCCCTCTTCTCCCAGCCCCTCCCTCTGCACCCCTTCCTGTCCTCAGATCACTCAACCATCCAACCCCTTCTTCAACCCCCTGCGTCTCCACTTCCTGGACACCTAGCATCTCCCACCTCAGACCTCCGTTCCAGTGCTTGTCCCCAGCCATGCAGATCCCCTCTCTTCCTGTGCCCTGAGCCCCTGATAGTCCCCTTCCTATGTTCCAAACTCCCGGGGGCCAGGTACATCCCCATTCCTATCCCCTCCTGAGTCCTGAATTCTTCCTGGCTCTTCTTGTTTGGGTACTGAATACCACCCCCTCCCCGCGCCCCGTTCCTGGTGCCCTGATACAGAGCCAGCCCCGCCAACCCCTTCCCTTAAAATCTCTCCCGCCCCCCAACCTGGGGACACCCCAACCTGCAGATCGATGACGGCGTTGCCAGCCTGGTTATCGCACAGCTGCTGTTCCTACAGTCAGAGAGCAACAAGAAACCCATCCACATGTACATCAACAGTCCCGGTGAGCAGGGCCTGCCCTGGGTGCACAGCGCCCCTTGGGGGGTAGGACAATGGGCTCTGATCACCAGGGTGTCCTCCCTGTGGAGAAAAGGTGTGGTGCTTTCTTCAGAATCTACAAAGGACCTTGGCACTGCCAAAAGGTGCCTGTTGCTAGCTTGTTTTTTTTTTTTGTTTGTTTTTTGGTGGACTGGGGTTTGAACTCAGGACCTCTGGCTTGCTCCATTTGAGCCACATCCCCGCTGCTCCCCCACCCCCCAGTCCTTTTTTGCTTTAGACAGTGTTTTGCGTTTTTTACCTAGGTAGGCTTGGACCACAATCTCCCTTCTTATGCCTCTTGAGTAGCTGGAGTGACAGGCATGTCCTATGCCAGGCTTGTTGGTTGAGATGAGGTCTCACCAGCTTTTTACCTGGGCTGGCCTTATCTCTGCCTCCTGAGTTGATGGAGTTATAGGCATGAGACACCTGGCTCAGCCTGTTGCTGGCTTCACCCCCCCCCCCCCCGGCAGTACTGGGGTGTGAACTCAGGGCCTCACACTTGATCCACTCTGCCAGCCCAATTTACTGTTTTTTTTTTTTTGGTGGCACTGGGGTTTAAAGTCAGGCCTCATGCTTGCAGGTGTTCTAACTGTTTGAGCCACTCTGCCAGCCTGTTTCTGGCTTTTAAGTGAAGGATCAAAAACCTGTAGCTGAAGTTGGGGCCTCTTTGATCATACACATACAGTATTTTACCAGCTTGACTAGGCCACATCTTAGAATTGACTGATTTTGCTGGGTGTGATGGTAGTGCCTGTAATCCCAGCACTAGGGAGTCTAAGGCAGGAGGATCACGAGTTCAAGCCAGCCTCAGTGACAGAGTGAGACCCTGTCTCAAAAAAAAAAAAAAAAAACAGAAGCTGAGCTCTGATGGTTCATGCCTGTAATCCTATTTACTCAGGAAGGAGGCAGAGATCACAATGACTGTGGTTCGAAGCCAGCACAAGGAAATAGTTTTCAAGACTCTTATCTTGAAAATAACCAACACAAAAAAAGGGCTGGCAGAGTAGCTCAAGTGGTAAAGTGCCTGCTTAGCAAGTGTGAAGCCCTGAGTTCAAACTCCAGTACTGCCAAAAAATAAGTAAAACACAAAAAATTGCTTGGATTTTGCACCCTCTCAAAAAAAAAAAGAAGTTAACTCATTTTAATTAAGTATATAATATGCCAGGCATTTTTCACAGAACTTTACACACCATGAACTCATTTCTAGCCTCACTGAAGCCTCCTGTGGTAGGTGCTATTCAGTTTCTCCACCTATGTGGAGAAACTGGCTCAGACTGGCGAGTGACTTGCCCAAAGCCACGCAGATGATAAACTTTCCAGCCAGGGTTCACACCTAATCACACTAGCAGCTGAGCGGTCCGCTTAGCCCTACTCTCTTCCACTTTCTAGTTTCTCTTGGAAATTTGGTAGATCTGGTCCCCTTGGCCCCTGTGCATCTGTAACCAGTCAGCTGACTGGAGCAAGGACTCTCCCTGTTACCCCTACCTAGCCTGTGATACTCATTTCTGTCACTCCTCCCTTGGGAGAGTGGTACTGTGACCCTTGCTTGAAGGCCTGCCTCTTAAAGCTCTCCCCTGTGCTGGGGGTGGGTTAGGGGAAGGGCAGTGTAGATCCTGACGTGGTCCCTCACCTGTACTTTGCCCACAGGTGGCGTGGTGACCGCGGGGCTAGCCATCTACGACACAATGCAGTACATCCTGAACCCCATCTGCACCTGGTGTGTGGGTCAGGCTGCCAGCATGGGCTCCCTGCTTCTGGCTGCCGGCAGCCCAGGCATGCGTCATTCGCTACCCAATTCCCGCATCATGATTCACCAGCCCTCAGGGGGTGCCCGCGTGAGTAGAGGCCTGGGAGCCACAGTGGGATTTGGGGGAAGTCCACTCAGGAGTGACTGGGCAGAAATCAGGTATGGGGGGTCATTGTTTTTAAATGTAGGTTTCACGGCTAGGGGTATAGCTCAGTGAGCACTTGCCTAGCATGTACAAAGCCCTGGGTTCAGCACCCCCCAAAAAAATTAGAAAAAAATATAGTGGTGAGGACAAAGCAGTAGTGGGGTGGGGGGACTCACCAAGGCCCAACAAGTTGGCCGCCTCTACTTCTCAGCAGGGGCTGTCTCTGACCCAACCATAACTTTTACCCCCCTGGGTCACCCTCAGGGTCAAGCCACAGACATTGCCATCCAGGCAGAGGAGATCATGAAACTCAAAAAGCAGCTGTACAACATCTATGCCAAGCACACGAAGCAGAGCCTGCAGGTGATCGGTAAGTGTCCTGCCTAGGTAGGTTCCACGCCCCGTTTAGCTCATGCAGCACACACACAGGTGTCAACCATTATCTGAAGGCGAGAATTCTCCAGCTGGACATTCAGGACCAGACTGTTCTCTGTAGTACCCTAGGCACTGCAGGACGTTGAACAGCACTCCCTAGCCTTGACCCACTCCATGCAGTTGTCATCTTCATTTGGGACAGCCAAACGTTTCTGAGGACCAAGGGTGTGGTCAAATAGTAGAGTACTTGCGTAGATGCGTGAAGCTCTAGGTTCACCTATAGCTCCCCAAAAAAAATCTCCAGTCAGTGCCCAGTGCCCCCTGACTTCCAGAATCACTTCCAGTTAAGCCCTTTAAAAGTATCAACTTCCAGCCAGCCACCTGTGCCTCATGCCTATAATCCTGGCTACTTGGATGACAGAGATCAGGAGGATCAGCAGCCCTGGCAAATAGTTTGCAAGACCCTACCTTAAAAAAAAAAACCCAACACCAAAAGAAAGGGCTGATGGAGTGGCTCAAGTGGTAGAGCGCCTGCCTGGCAGTGTGAGGCCCAGAGTTCAATTCCAGTACTGCAAAAAAAACCAAAAAAACACGATCATTGCCTTTATGTATGTTGCTACAGTGACATCATTATGGGGCCTGTGGAGGCGCTCAGTGTCACAGCTTGTCTAGCACGAACAAGGCCTGGGTTCCATTCCCTGCATTGTAAGACATATTTAAAGAAAAGAATTGAACCACAAGTATGGACTCCTGAGTTCAAACCCCAGTGCCACCTTAACACGGAAAGGCAAAACCACAGTAAGATACCACTTCAGTCTGCTAGGATGGCTGAGATATAAAATACAATACCAAGTGCTGATGAGAGCACGGAGCAACTGGAACGCTGATAGGAACAGGAGTGAAACTGGTCTGCCAACACTGGAAAGCTGTCTGGCAACTTTGGTTAAATCTAAACATGCAAAAGGATCCCATGTCTCTGCTCAGTGTATAACCATGAGAATTGAGCACTTGTGTCCGTGAACAGTGTGTGATCCTGTCTGCATGAACCCCAGGGTGACCATCTACAGTCTAAGGGGCAAGCTAGCGGTGGTTCATTCACACTGTTCACAGTCACTTACCAGTGCAAACATGGCCCAGCACCATGGAAGAGCCTCACAGACACTGAGTGGACAGCATAAATGCTCTGATTCCCTTTATGTAAACCATAAAAGCAAGCCAGGTGTGATGCTGCACATCTATAATCCCAGCACTTGGGAGACCGAGGCAGGAGGATCACAAGTTCAAGATTAGCCTGGGCCACAGACTGAGACCCTGACTGGAAAAACTAAACAGGGCTGTGGGCCTGGCTCAAGTGTAGAGCACATGTCTAGCAAGCACAAGGCCTTGAGTTCAGAGCCCAGTGCCACCCACCAAAATAAATAAACCATAGTAACGAGCACAGCCTGTCTGTGCTGATCAGACTGATTGTCTTGGGGTGCGGGAGGAGGTGGCAAGGAGTAGTGATAAGAGCAGGGTTTGGGGCTCCTGGCAGTGATGTTGCTCTTGTTCTACATGCTGGTTGTGGAGGTGTGTTCAGTCTGAAGTTCACCACACTGCACGGGCTTAAAATTTTTACCCTTTCCTGAGTATGTATGTAGATATATACCTCAATGAAAAGTTAAAAAAAAAAAAAAGAAGAAGAAGAAGAGATAGGTGGCCTAGAGGAGAATGCCAGGGTCACACAGAATGGCAGAATGGGGACCTGCCTTGGTTAGCTGGGGCTGTGGTAATAAAATACCGTGGGCTGGCTGTGTGGCTTAGACTGAAGACTGGAAGCCCAAGGTCATGGGTCAGCATGGCCGGCTCCTGGGGAGGGAGGACTCTTCCTGGCTTGCAGACCACCCCCTTGTACTTTCCTCTATCCACAGTCTCTTCTGATAAGGGCACTAGTTCCATCCTGAGGGCCCCAAGTTCATGACTCATCTAACCTCATGACCTCCCCAGGCCCCACATCCAAATGCTATCCCACTGAAGAGGGGGCTTCAATACAAGAGTTTGTTTGGGGGGCCTCCACCTGGCCCCAGGCCTCTTGCTTTTAATCACGTGTTGCTTTCCACAGAGTCTGCCATGGAGAGAGACCGATACATGAGCCCCATGGAGGCCCAGGAGTTTGGCATCTTGGACAAGGTCCTGGTCCACCCTCCGCAGGATGGTGAGGACGAACCGGAGCTGGTGCAGAAGGAGCCTGTGCCAGCACCAGCAGACCCTCCCACCGGATCAAGCACCTGAGAGCCAGACCTCATCTCCAGGAACGTGGAGGGCCAGGGGCCTGCCACACCCAGAGGCTGTGGTCCGCTCACCTCTCACTGCTAAGCCCAGAAGGGCCCCTTGAACTTTGGACGTGGGGGTTGCCCCAAAGGGTGGGGCAGTCTGGCTGAGACACTGGTTTTAAATTAAATCTTTGTGGTCTTTGTTCTACTTCTTACTGCTCTGTGATATGTGGACATGTGTGCCCTGCTAGGTCCTTCTGTTTCCCTAACTCCAAGACAGACCGTCCCTCCCTGCAGCAAACTCCTGAACATACACTGAGACATACTGTGATGAAGACAAAAGAGCCATCTTCAGTGTGCTTACATCCTCCTGGTGGTAGGCAGTCAAAGAGTCAATGAGATACAAAGACGTGTGTGACACAGTTCTAAGTGAGGGGGTCAGAGGCCTTGCTGAGAAAATGAAGGCGTTGAGGGAGGGAGCCATGTTGGTATACTGGGAAAGAGCAATCCAGGTAGAGGGTACAGCCAGTGCAAAGGCCCTGTGGTAGGTCTGTGTGTGTTTGTGGGGGTGGGGAAGGGTGCTGAGGGAGAGTGGAAGAGATGAAATCAAGAAGTAAACACATTGGCTAGCCCTGGAATCCCAGCACTCTGGAGGGGGAAGTGAGAGGACCAGGACTTCGATACCAGACTGGGCTACATAGCGAGACCCTGTCTCAAAAAAAACAAGAAAAGAGAAAAGTGCCAATGAGGTAAGAGCACTAAGGAGAGAGGTGAGCCATAGAAGGTTTTGAGAAAAGATGAGAAAGGATGATTGCTTCAGAGGGGCAGTGCTGAGTGTAGCAAGAACAGAAACTTAGGAGGAGTGGCTCAAGCAGCGGAGCACCTACTTTGCAGTGCGAGAGCCCTGAGTTCAAACCACAGACCCACCAAATAAAACCTAGAGACTTGGTGTGCAATTGGATAATCCAGAGGTAGATTAATGGCGGCTCCAGCAGGGTGGAAAGTGAGATTCTGGTAAGGTTTCAAGGCAGTCCTCACAGATAGAAAATGTCTTGAGAAGATGTATCAAGGAATACATGCCCATCACTGGGCATGATCCTGCAGAAGGACACCCAACTCTTACGGTGTGAAACTTGTCATTCTCCATGCTCTGTTGCCAGTAGCAAAGCCGGCTTCTGGGCTTTTGTGGGCAGCTTTGATAGGGCTCTGTCAAAGCTCACTAATTTGCTGATCACCACTGATTTTGCAAAGTGTGTTGTGGCAATTTGACTGGATAGGTTTACTATCAGAGTGGACAGACCATTGTATAAAACACAAGATAGAAAAAAAAAAAACAAGATAGAAAAGCAAATAAAAGGCAGGCCTCGTTGGTGGGGAGGGAGGGAGAGAGCGAGTGTGTGCCAGCCTTCTGCAAAACTAAGCTGTTCCCCAGAAGCAGCTGGAAAAGTGGAGGGTCGGCCTGTTCACTGAGATGGTAGACCAAGGAGGAGCAGTAGGTTTGGGGACAGGGGCCAGGAGCAATTGGGGCTGTCTTATGCTTGATGTATCTGGGTGTCCCAGAGTCAGGAGCCACCGCACCTGGCTTGATCCTGTGGATGTCGCTGAAGACCTTCATTCCGAGCACTTTTGGTGCTGTGGGAGGCGAAAGCTAATGGATCCAGAAAGAATGGGAGGGAAATATTAGAGATAAACAAGTCTTTTGAGAACTTTTGGTTAAAAGGGAATCAGAGGACAGGGAAAAATGGCGTCGGAATTGTTTGCTTTTGGCTTTCTATAAACTAAATAGATTTCAGGGCTATAATCATCAGTTCTACTTGTGTGAACTTTTCATTATGAACATTTAAAATGCATGCAGAAGGCTGGGGCTGGTCCAGTGGCTCACGCCTGTAATCCCAGCTACTCAGGAGGCAGAGATCAGGAGGATCAAGGTTGGAAGCTAGCCCCAGAGCAAAATAGTTCTTGAGACCCTATCTCAAAAATACCCTTCACAAAAAAGGGGCAGGATGGCTCCAGTGGTAAGAAC